CCCCTCCCCCCAGTTCAGCGCCACCACCATCGGGCAAAAACGCTGAGTGAACTGTCTCCGTCACGACTAAAGACTTCGGAAAGTAGTACAATTCCAAGTGCCAAGCCGTGTGCTCAACATAGTGCCTTTTGTCAATCGAATGGCCATAAAAAGAAAGCACGACCGACTCCCATCAGTTCACCGAAAAAATGTCACGGGGCAGCCGGCGGCAGCGCTAAAAACGATTTGAAATTCGCGGCGTGCAGCCTATGTTCGTTAGCTGAGTATTCGACGTTAACAGTGGGAACGCTTGGCGCGCCGGCCGCTCCGCCTCCGAAGCGGCGCCGATTTTCAGCCCGGCCCAGGCCGATTGTCGTCGCATTTGCCGAGTCACGTTCGCTGGGGTTGCCTCGTGGTTCTTGGGGCCATTAGCTTATCCCAGAGAGTCACATTACGAGAGCCTTTCGGCTCATCTCATTCAATCATTTCCCAAATTCCATTAGAAAAGCGCCATTTTTCCTTCCATTTCTGGTTTTCGCTGGGTTTTTCAAGTTCAAGTGCTCGGAAATGTTTGAAATCGCCGTAACCCATCTGTCAGCTTGTTTTCTCTTCTGTACGTCCAGTCTTGGGCTAAAATCTCGTCTAATTTCACGAGTTTCAGGTCATAACTGCATACTTCTTGCAACTGTTTGCCTGATTACCACGTGTGTTTGTCGCACCAGTGAACAACATGAGCGCCGCAGACACGAAAGTCGCTGCTGTAACGACCGATGAAAACTGGAAAGCTGGCCTCGTTCTGCCCGCAAAGGATAAACGCTTCAAAACTGCGGTATTGATTTGAAAAAATCTGGCTTGATTGCGAAATCAGATGTGAAATGCTGATAATAATGGAGATGTCCACTTTCAGGATGTTACGGATACGAAAGGTGTCGAATTTGAAGATTTTTGCCTCAGTCGTGATTTGCTGATGGGCATTTTTGAGAAAGGTTGGGAAAAGCCAAGTCCTATTCAGGAGGCTTCTATCGGTGTAGCACTGTCAGGTAGGCATTTTCATATTAAAAACTAGCAAGTGTTTGAAGTTGAAGATGAATGACTAAAATAGCCATAAGAAGAGGTTTGCATCTATCGACCCGTTCTTGGAGTGCGCCATGCACTCTGTTTCCACTCAGAATCGCAGTAGCGTGGACTTTATATGGCATAATTCATGTTTTTGGGAGGGGGGGGGGAGGGTAGGCTGTTTTCTCCACCCAGACCTATCACCAGTCAAACAGCCTCGGGGACGGTGGGCTTCCTTGACTCGGGTTGGAGCTGACCGGAGAACATCGGACTATTTGGCTGCCGCCACTTACCCCTATACTACCTTTGCCTTGGAAACCAAGAAGCTCTGGTGAAACCTGAAAGATTTTAGTGGTTATCGTAGCACATCGCACTCATCATCAGTGAATAATGGGAGGGTCATGAGGGTGTATTGGGAGGGTACAGACATCGGTCAGAAGGGCGTAATGTGATTGAAGTTGAAAAGCTCAGCGCTGAAAAAAGGATCGAGATAGGAACTCAGTGGAGAAACTGGGAATTCGGGAATGCTCGGGGTCTAAATGTTAACTCTTTCCCTTCCCGTGGCTTGTGATGGGGAATAGAGTATTGCTCATCG